AACTAGGGTTAACCGTTATCTTCTTCTCTTATGCGCATAAATTGCATCTTACTCTGTAATCCTCTACCGCGAGTGACCCCCGGGCTTCGTATAGGGTGAACCTTACTGCAAACAACAAAAAAAAGTTTAAATAAAAGAACACAAAAAAGATATCTTACAAAACAATAAAGTCAATGAATTAATCATCCATTGTGAAGATTGCAGCTTTCATTAAAAATTAAATTTTTATTAAAGCCAAAATATATAGAAAGTGCACTAATTTCGATATACACCCATTAAAATTATGAGACCTAACAGCCAATCTAGTACAGCGCTTAAATTCGTGAAGTCGAGGTACCGAAGAGGAAAGCGCAACAGAACAATTACCGAGAAAATATTTATTGAAGGGGTCAAAGGGAGCTAATTGACGACGGTGGGAGAGTGAGACCGAGATGCCAGATCAGAACCAATAATGTTGCCGATTCTTCGACTTATCACCCAGTGTACATACCAGATACAGTACAGTTTGGTCTGGTGATCTTCAGCAAGGCATCTTGATAGGAAGTGACGTTATCCAGCATCAACGTGTAGACTTCATTCACCTTCGGATTTGACTGCATCGAGAAGTAAAGATAGACTTCCACGACGATGCTGCCGGCTGAAATGTGTCCAATTCGCAAGTCGATGTACTGTTTACCGATCTGGAGTGCTTGTGCATTCATGAATACCTGGAATTGCAAACATAGATGTCATATATAGAATCGATTGTATGTCATTTTTTTTTACAGTAAGCTTCACCTTGTACAAGGCCCGGGAGCCACTCGCGGTAGACAGTTCATTAAGGAGCAGTTTATACGGATAACAGGGAAGATAATGGTTAAACCTAGACTTGAACAGGTTATGATTGTAGTGATCGGGGAAACATCCTCTTGGGAGTCTGTTCCACAGAGCCATGGTTTGTAGGAAGAAGCTGTTCGAGTAGAACATACTTCTTACCGATTGAATACCGAGATAATGTGGGTTGTTTGCTACAATGTAAGTGGCATAGCAGATCCTAGCCGTTAAGGTTAGACCTGGTGAAACCAAGGAGTGTTGTATGTCCGAGCACTTTCAGTGGAAGTAGTGATAGAGCAGTGATACGCTCGCCACATAACCGCCTGTGGGAGAGAGAGAGAGAGAGGTTGGAGGGTGGAAGAAACAATAAATGTATCAAAATATGTATCGAAATAAACAATATGTATCAACACGGTAATTTTCACTCTTCCTTTAATAATGACACCAAAATATATATATATATATATATATATATATATATATATATATATATATACCTTTTAAGCAAAGAAAAGAGTTACCCCACTTGGCTTTAAACGTCTGTTTACCAACAGCGTCCGTAGACGTCATTGTAAACTGAAAGTAAATTTTCTCATTTTTAATTTTCAATTCTAACTGTACTATTAAATAGTTAACAACACTAATAACTTATTCAAAGGAAACGGCGAAACCTAGAAATATTAACCAGACTGTAATCAGTTCCCAGTACCTGGAAATTGCGCGGTGTATCAAAGTCCGAGTCGTACAGTCGGCGTGGGGTATTATGCATATGTATTAATATATACTTAATAGCTCTGTTATTTTGCATTGAGCATTGTTTTACTTACATCTAAGTATATATATATATATATATATATATACTATCCCGATGTTGAGGTAATTTTTGGTTTTTGCATATATATATATATATATATATATATAATTAACTGATTTAAAGTATGTTTTTTCGCTACACAGTTCTTACCATGTTCCAAAATAATTTTTGAAACATGGTTAGAACTGTGTAGCGAAAAATCCATATTTTAAATCAGTTAATTTATAATATTAATGCTCTGTAAATTTACATTGAGCACTATTTTGTAAAAATAAAAATATCTATAAGAATACCGGATTATATATCTTACTGTTCTTCCTTTTTATATATATATATATATATATATATATATATATATATATATATAAATTCGAAAAGGAAGAATAACAATAATTATTATTATTATCATTATTATTATTATCATCAGGCTAAGACACAAAACAGGTGAAAGGCTGTAGTAGAAACTCTGTAATTCTACCCCAGTCCGACGACACAAAGACTGACCGAAGATATATATATATATATATATATAAAAGCAAACCGTTTGAGTCAAGCAAGTTAGCAATCGGACAGCATTTGATAGACAACACAGGTTGTGCTGTCAAGTACACGGATACAGCATTCACCATTTTCGGCTGAGTATCGCCAGTCAAACAATTGCGAATCTTGGAGGCGGTAGGGATTATGTTACATCGACCGTCTCTGTGTAGACAGAAGAGAAAATTTTGTTCGTTCTCTGTTTCTGTTGGGTGGGCTGTGAGTAAAAAAATTCTATTTTACACTCACTAGGAATCTATATATTTTGGTTTATTGCCATGTTACTTTTTTCCGTGTTCGTAATGAATTTCAGTTTTAGTCGTAGTTACTCATTTAAACCTACGGAATATATATGGATTTCGCTATTTGTTTTTGTTTATCTAAGAAGTTACCAACGTATTCTTCTGAAGAAGTGTTGAAAAAGGATCCTTTAAAGTATGCGTTTTTGTATATTGAAGGCAATATGCAAATTCTGTGGTGTCAATCTTTTGTTTGTATATATATATATGAAGAAATATGGTTTTAAGGTGTGCTATATTTAAGGGATAAAGTGCTCAATATCCGAGATAGAGCGTATGTAAATATAAAAGTAAACATTGAAGTCAGCACTCAGAGGCGACAGGCTGTGTCATGCTGGACGCAATTTGTGACCTGACGATTGCGTCCAGCATGAAACAGCCTGTCGCCTCTGAGTGTTGACTTCAATGCTCACTTTATATATATATATATATATATATATATATATATTCTATGACTACAAAATAATACGGAAGGCATGACCTTCTCCTGCAATCGTTGCCAAAAATCCTGTTTCTACTGGACTTACCGCTTTCTGCAGTCGTTTTTCTATATCAATGCGCAAAGGTGATGTGGCATTGTTCATTTCGGGGTTGAAAACAGCAGAATTATTTCCAATCTTCGTAATTCGTATCTGGGCGCCAAAAAGCTTCGCGGCTACAAAAGAAAACAAAGAATATTAACAAACAGAAAGAAATACACTGTCTTCCCAAAAGGATAGGTGTATAGTAGCGTTTTGGTGCTGTAAGCTTGAATGTGCGGGTGGTATAATGGATAATAGCTCTGAATTTTTAATCGGTGGTTCGAGTTTCAATTCCCTGTGGGTTCGTCCTGTTCACTTAAGCCCAAATCCCCTTGGGAAAGGCATGAATCCACATATTCTCCTTCCAGCTATGGGTTAATTTGTAAGACTTGTATTCCTAAAGTATTATTATCTCCCTTCTTATAATTTTTTAAAATCTAAAAATATGTTCTGGTTTTAAAGAAAACCAATCAATCGATCAATGTATCAATAAATCATTATTATCTTCAAAATCTTCTTACAATCTAAAAATATTTTCTGGCGCTAAATGACCTGCCATGGAATGATGAGCACTAGAAAACGATTCACTCAGTCACTTTGTTTATGGATTTCAATCAGGATCTTGTGACAGCATAACATCTCACAGGCTATTTCCGTACGAACACCAAAGTTAAGCAACGTCGAGCTTTGTCAGTACCTAGTGGCCGTTTCGTAATGTCAGGTGCGGTAATCTTGAATGCGTGGGTGTAGTGTAATGGATAACAGCTCGGCGATTGTTAATCGGAGAGTCGAGTTTCAATCCCTGTTGGGTTCGTTATACCCACTTACGGGCAAATAAGATTGGGAAAGGTATGAATCTACCTTTCCACCCCCCAGACTATTGGTTAATTATTAAGACTAAACCATTATCATCTCCAACGAAAAATAAGATTATTACAATCTAAAATATTTTCTGGCTTCAAATAACCTGCAAAGGGTTTGAAAGCCATAGAAAAAAACGAATCAATCAATCAATGTATCAGTAAATCATTATTACCTCCAAAAAGTTTTACAATCTAAAAAAAATTTCAGGCTTTAAATAACCTGCAATGGCTTGATAAATCGTCAAAAAGAAAATCAATCTGTCAGTCTGATTAAAAGTGTTCTATCTGTTGCCATTTTATTTAAGACTGTTATAAATTTATCCCGACAATAATGCTGTTCGACCAAGGAATGGCGAATGTTTCCATATAAGGAAGCGACTTAAATCACCCTTAACATCCTATGGCAATCGGCCTGGTAATCTCACAATAACAAAACCATTCAAAACAGAATGTTTGCAAATATATATTACCGAAATTATTGCTAATGAAAGCACATTTACTCTGATTAATGAGACGTGACTTTGGCGGGAAAATCGCAAAAAAAATATCAGGAACAGATATTACAGCGAAAGCCATAAAGCAAATTATCTAATTACGAAAGATAAATACATTACAAATCAAATACATCTAAATATCTTATCAATAACTTTTCAATTAGCAAGTGTTTTCAGGCTAAAAAAAAAAAAAAAAAAGATTCTTCAGGGAATGAGTCTACTAAGACTTATCCGGAAGTATGACCAGATCTGGGTGAACCTTCTGAAGTTGTCTGCAAAGTGCATTGCGTAGAAGTCAGCAATTAACAGCGAATTAAATTCCCATTAACTCTTGAAATATATTTGTATTCACTTGAGTATTTTTTGTGGCCTTTCCGTTTAAGACTTTTCCGTCCTAAGACTCAGAGGAACGGCTATAAATAATTATTAAATCAGATAGACCGACATCACGGCGACATCTAAGCGCTTACGTCCGCTTAAGCGCGATCGATGATGGACAAACATTGCGTTCAAATATCGACAACGCAGTAACAATCATTCTTCTATTATGTGACCTGTCCCTCCAGGTTGTAGGAGACCATGGCTCTCCACAATTTCCTATTCATTATAGCTACAAGCAATGTTTTATTCCCATTTTTGTTTTTAATCAATTCAGCCCCAACATATTAAAAGCACCGGTGTCTGTACGATCACTGAAGTTAAGCGACATCGAGCCTGGTCAGAACCTCGATGAGTGACTACTTGGGAATAACAGGTGTTGTAAGCACGGATGTGCGGGTGTTGTAATGGATAATGTCTTGGAATTGTTAATAGGAGAGCCGAGTTCCAATTCCAGTTGAGTTCGTTATATTCACTTACGCGCAAATACCCCTGGGAAATGTATGAATCCATCTCTTCTCCTTCCAGGTAGAGATTAATTATTAAGATTTATATCACTAAATCATATCTACCAAAAGAAAATTCTTACAATGTAAAAATATTTTCTGGCTTTAAATAACCTGCAAAGGGTTGACAAATCTTAAAAAAACAAATTAATCAATCAATTAAATATTAGGTAACTCCTTCTCTAAAAAGAAATGGACTCCACGCATTAATTGTTTAAATCGTTGCAGCAGTCTGCTTAGTGGGTTTTAATTAAACCAGAAAGGGTATTAAATTTATTAAGTATTTAACCCATAGCGTGGCCCCAAAATTTTGTTTTATATTTGGATAACATCTTATCGGTAATCGAATTCTGTTATTACCTATCGTTTTTATGCGTGTACGTGAGAGAGAGAGAGAGAAAAAATTTTCTTTCGTAATCATAACTGATTTGCGATTCCATATCATCTCAACAGAATACAGAAGCGTCCAAACAAAGTCTTGCTACAAAGATAGCGCAATGTCTAGTTTGAAATATCTAACTGATGTCTTAAAGAAACTGTCAACAAAAATAACGCTTATGTTCAGAATCAGGAAAAGACAGCTGAAATTCATTGGAAATATATGAGGAAAGAAAGCTTGGACCCCCTCCCCTCATATGATATGAGGGCAATAAATAGGGGAATGCAACGAGCCACCTAACTTACGACCTTGTGTGAATGGATGTCGAAACGGGGGAGCGGAAGCCTTATCAAACGGAGAAGGATCTACTAAGGGACACAAGATATAGGAAGTTGTGAAGAGCCATGATCGCTTATGTCTTGAAAGGATGAGAGGCTCATAGAAGTAGAACTGATGTCGCTTATCATGTTTTAGGTAAACGTGGAAATCTGGAGATTTAACATCCAATAATTTTTTTTTAATTGTTTCACCCCCAAGCAAGACGATGATGTCACTAATACGCAGGGAGTAAAAGAGAAAAGTTGGCGATTGATGTTGCTTTTTTAATTTTTGACGATTGTAGTTATCGGGGAAGCAAGAAATCGGAAAGGAGTTCCACAGACGAGAAAAGAAACTGTTAGAGTAGAAGTGGTGGTTACATCTAGCTAGTTCAACAATAAAACAGTGAGACCTAGTTGCCAATCTAGTAACACGCTTCAATCCAAGAAAAAAAAAGATCAATAGAACAGTTATGAAAATATTTGTAGAAAAGACAGAGGGAAACCACGTCAGATCGGTGAGAAAGTGACTGAAGTCGAGATGCCTGATCAGGATCGATTACATCAAACACCTTTCTTTGGATTTTGTCAAGAATCTCAATGTGTGAAGCACCAGACCAAATATGGTCTTAATCGGTAATTTTTTATGATGCCGTATTTTTTTAACAAAAGCATTACGATAACTTAAAAAAAAAAAATGAAAATTTGTCTGAACGTCAAGACAGTAAATAGAGGGTAACAACAAAATTTACGAGTCACAGATTGAGAAAACTTAGCATGGGTGCTGTGATCTGTTACGCCTCATGGAATTTCCCGGATAATGAAATCGCTGAAACTATCCGGTTGGTTTTGACCAGCTGTCGACAAAATACTCTGACGGTTGACTAGGAAATTACCGCCATTATCCCACACAAGTGAGCATGCGTGATAACGTGGGGGTTTACAGTGATATGGGACCTAAAGAAATTGTTAGCAAGTTATCAGGCAGACGGAAGTTTTCCCAGGATTTGCAGAATATTTTATTCATATTTTTATACTATTCTTCACGCAATTCAAGGCCCAAGAGCCACTCAAGGTAGAGTTAACGAATGAGGTTTCTGCAAAGGAGTACAAAGAAGAAGGGAGAAAGATGCGCATGTTATGGGGATATGTAAAATAGATAAGGATTGACCCTACACTAGAGGTTAATATTATCAAGTTAACGGCCAACCAGAAAATCTTTTCTTCTTCTTCTTCGTAAGTAGAATATTCCCCTAATATGGTCTATGTTGTCATCTTTTTCAGAATCTCTTATCTATTTTCTTCCTTCATTTTGTTTCATTTTTCCTTTTCTTTTTGCTTCTTTTTCAGAATCTGCAAACAGTAGGGTATGCCTGTTTTTTAGAATTCTTTATCTATTTGCTTTGTTCGTTTTCATCTTCCTTCTTGGTTCACACTACCTTTCTCTTTCTTTTTCTTCGGAAACTGCAGACAGTAGGGTATGCCATTAATAAGGACTATGTTGCTATCCTTTTCTATTTTCTGTAATTCTCTTCATCCTTCTATTTGCCATTCTCTCGCTTTTACCTCTTCTCTCCTTGTTCTTCCTCTGCGTTTGTCTTGAGTCATCTATCGGTTTTCTCTTCTTTTACCTTCTCCTCTTTCTAACCTCCCCACCTACTTCATGTTCTTCTTTTTCTTTTGTTTCTTCTTCTTCTTTTAGTTTCCTTTCTTCTTCTACTTTTTCTTTTCTTTTTCTTATTTTTTCCTTTTCTTCTTTTTCTTCTTCTTCGTCTTTTACTTCTTTTACTTTTTCTTTTTTTTTTACTTCTTTTTCTTCTTTTTCTACTTCTTTTGTTACTTCTTTTTCTTCTTCCTTTTCTTCTGTTTTTTCCTTTTTTTCTTATTTTTCTACTTTTACTTCTTTTTGTTCGTTTTTTTTTTCCGTTTCTTTACTTTTTCTGCTTTTTCTTCTTCTTCTTTTTCTTTTATTACTTCTTTTTCTTATTCTTTTACTTCTTTTTCTCTTCCTTTCTTCTTTTTCTTCTTGTTCATTCACTTGAATTAGGATATACCTATTCTTTTACAATCGATAAATTTCGATAAAAAGTCGCTTCAGTCATTTTACTGATTTTTCTAATTCATTTTGTCTGAATTGGCTTCACTTATTCGTCGAGTAGATTTCTAATATTTCCAGAATGAATCTAGTAGTAACAGAAAATATTACAAACACCGAGACATTCTTAACGCGTTAACTGCTAAACACAAACCAGTAAAACGGTCATATGGGCAATTATATTTTTTAATTAAAAGAATATTTTGTAAAAGGATATTTTTTTTAGGTATCCATTAAAGTTTTTTGTGCTAATATGTTTTTAGAAACGAGTTGCCAAAGTTTTTATTCCTAACTTCAGAAAATATGACACCAACGCGTACTGGCTTTTTTCAAACTTCTGCTCCCGCTAAATTATGCACTGTCTCCAAGAATCTGTTCGTCCTGGGTAAGACGATAAACTACATCCGACAGCATGGCCTATGATCAGAAGGTTTTGAGGAGCGTAGAACCACCTCTTAATTGCTGGTGTTCCCAGGTCCACCCTGACCCGCAGTGGTAGCACCTGTTAGGGTCCCAGCTATGGGAAAATAGTTACCCCCCAAACTGGTATCGAAACACTATGAAAGTATGAAAATATGTTTTAATACTAGCAATACAATGAATGTTTGAAGAAAAATTATTACCAGCAATACATTTTTGAAAATAAAAATGACCAGCCATAAAAATCTTGTCATCATTAATAACCCATTGAGGTTGATATGCCGTAAAACAAACCAAACCAAATCAAATCAAACCAAAACCAAGAATCTGTAACTGGTCCACTCAGCAGAATTTCCGTATAAACGTTGACTCTGTGGGTGTTGAACGAACGTGTGCCTGATTAGACGTCTGCGACAGGCATTGATAGCAAACAGGTGTACTTGGAAACGAGTTGGTGGCCATTATTAATATTGTTACGACTGTTAAATCAGTTGAAACTAAATAGAAACTAGCGTTACATTTTATCAATCCTGGGATATACGAGTCGGTATTGAAAATTATTTAAAGCATTGGTTAAAATCTGCCGGGTTCACTGGTAACTGTGACTTCAAACCCTGTGTCTGGAAGTGCTGAAAACTTGGATTTTGTTGTTCAGTGGATGAAGTGAATAAGGGATACATCGACGAATAAGATATATCTCCTAAACATGAAAAAAAAAATGAGAACAATCTACCTAATGAAATGAATAAAGTGTTCGGTTGGAAATATCAAGATAGTTACTGACTATTTGTACAGACACCTGAAGAAGACCGGAGCGTACATTGGCGGAAACGCTGTAGTTATAACAATCAATATTAGCACGCTGGTTCGAAAAGTATATAATTCGAATTAGTTTTTTTTGTTTTTTTTAAGCCGTTATAGTTTGGAAAATTAATGAAAATAAAAACAATGAAGTAGTATTTCAAAATTTGGAAAATTTGTACAGTGTTCTAATCGAATGGTCACGTAAATTATCTCGGTTGTGACGTCAGAATACGCCGACTGCATCTCTGCAGAGGGGTAAAGACCTCCCCACCCCACCCCAATGAGGCACCCTGGAAATGACGATAAACTATGTCCGGCACCAAGGACACTGATCGTAAGGTTTTGAGAAGCGTGGAACCATCTCCCAATTGCTGCTTTTCCCAGGTCCACCCTGACCCGGAGTGGTAGCACCTGTTAGGGTCCCATCTATGGGTAAATAATTAACTCCCAAACTGGAGTCAAAATACTATCAAAATATAAAAATAGATTTTTATAGTAAAAAATAAAAAATATTACTAGCAATAAATTTTTGAAAAGAAAAATATTACCAGCAATAAACCAGACTCTCGACAAAACCGTTCTTTACAAAAATACGTCAATGAAACCTGATCTACAGACTGATTTCTTATAAAGAATTCATATTCTATTCATACGAACCTATCTCGTCCTGAGTATGACGATAGACTACATCCGACAGCAAGGCCTTTGATCAGGAAGTTTGAAGGAGCGTGGAACCACCTCTTTATTGCTGGTGTTCTCAGGTCCACCCTGACCCGGGTCCCAGCTATGAGCAAATAGTTAACCTTCTCAAAAGGGGTCAACACACTATGAATGTATAACAATAGGTTTTAATACCAGAAATACT